CCAACAGCTTCTGCCCATCTTCTCCAGTGGTTACCGAGCACAGCGCCCGAATGTCTCCAAAAAAATCAATTTAATTAAATTAAAGTTGGTCCTTTTATCCTCCATGGTGCAAGGCAGCACAGTCACAGCTCATGCACGGGTTTGGAAACCACATCTCCCCAAGCACTGCCACTTCCCGCCCTTCTCACACCACATCTCCCCAGTAAACCTAAAAACAGGGGGAAATTTCTCCTAATTGGGTCAATACCGGCATAATTACGGCCGCACGCTCCCAGCTTTTACCTTCCCGGTGGATTTTTAAGCATCTATTCACGCTGGGAGCTTAAGCTGCCACCGAAACATCCCTCTTGCAGCAGCCCCTGTGAGAGACAGGGATAAAGAAGAAAAAAAAAAAAAGTAATCAAAAGTTTTAAGACATTTATTTAAAATACAATTATAAAACGTTTTCTCTTCGGCGCACATTTCGGGGTGAAAACACGCGGTATCGTGTTTAACCACCACCTTCTCGGGGTGAAGGGGCTTCCTGCAGGAACGCCGCCGAGCCCTGCCTGCAGGCGGGACGTATCCTGCTCACCGGGATGGAGGAACCAGGGGGAGTCGGTGCCAGAGATTTCGGTGCCGGGGGAGGCAGCAATTTGAGCACTGACCAGCCACACCAGGAACCGGGTGGATTTGGGGGGTCTTTCTGGCCACAAAAAGCTATTTTTAGCAATAATTAAGGAAGGGCACGGTGCCGACGGTTATTGCTGACGTCCTTCTCCTCTCCCGCTCCCCCCGAAGACTCATCCTGACCGCCAGCTCGGGATGGGGGATAAATAAGACACCCCCCCTGCAAAAAAAAGTGGATGGGGATGCCCAGAGGCCGCCTGCCCACCCATCCCCACCTCACCACCATCCTTAATCAGCTAATTAACGCTCTAGTGGATTCTTTTTTATACACAGGTAGTTTTATTTTACCAGTATTTCTGCTTTTTTAAGCCGTATTTTCCCATACAGGTCTTTTTGTACGGTCACTTCCCTTCGCAGAGATGTCGAGATTCGCTCGTTTACTCTGGAGCCTACTGAGCACAAAGCGGCCGGGAAGGCTGCGCCCGTACGGAATAATCCACCGCTAACCAGAAATGGTTTTCTAGGTACCGTCCCCTCACGAAGAGCATTTAGTGTTCGTCTAATCCCTCGAGATTAGGGTAGGTCAGCTTTGTCCATGGGGGAACATCCGCATTCTTGCGGATCACCATCCTCCGTGTCCTCTTCCCAGGAGCCAGAGGAGGAAAATCCCTTCCCTGAACCCTTGCAGGGAGCCAGCTGCCACCAGGAAGATGCAGGAAAATCATCCAGATTTATCCAAGGCGGTTTTTGTTCCCCGACGTCTGCCGTTTCCAGAGGCGAACGCAGCTTGTACCGTGACCGAGAGACCGATGGGAGCGGCGGCCCCGCTGTTAAGCCACTCGGATTTGGGCCCTTGGGACATCCTGCTCCCCACCGTCACCCCAGCCGCACGGAGCTGGGGCTCCTCGCCGGACTCTATTTCAGGGACTGGAGCAGCGCCGGCTGTTCTCCTTGCGACGGAGCCCTAGTTCTTCACCGCCCGGCTCTCCGGGCCGCAAACAGCGCGCGGGCGGGCGGCAGGCATTTTCACGGGATCCGTCTACATTCCCTTCTCCCCAGATACAAAAAAGAAAAAAAAAATTAAAAAAAAAAAAGAGATGTATTTTATGCAGAAAATATTAACCAAGCTTTTAAGAGGTGCAAGACGTAAACTAGGCCACCGGACTCTGCCGGCTCCCAAGGCAAATCGGAAAGGCCGGGTATCCAGGAATCCGCTTCCACGTGCTTGGCAGCAGCAGAAATAGAGATTGAGAAGCAAGAGTTTGCCAAACCCGAGCCATGAAAGTCACAGAAATTCATTAAAACTCCTTCTTGAACACTTAACTACTTCTCAGTTAAAACTCCTTCCACGTACCCCGTGAATCGGATACATGGCGAACAAGCCAGAAAAAAAAAATAAACCAGGAGAGATCCTTCGCAACAGAACTCGCTCTGAAGGTGGGGAGGACGACATGCACGTCTGGGGAGGTTTCCCATTTTTTTTTGTTTTCCTTACATCCCAGGGTTACGAGTACAAGGAGCATTATTGCTGGCGCTAGCTTCAACCCAAAGTGGCACACACACGACTCCCTGCACCTGTCCGAGTCCTTTATAACCCCTTCCCCTCGTCCCCTTTCCTTTGCCAGTGATCTGGGGACAGCCCTCCCGGGTTTGGCGGTCACAGTGGATGGAGAGGGGAGGTCACAGTGCGTGGGGTTGAAGGTCACAGTGGGCAGAGCAAAGGGGATCACAGTGCAAATAAACCAGGTAGTTCCCTTTGCTCAAGTCCGTCTGTCCGCCCCGGCAGCGCGACCCCGCGGTGGCGGACCCTGCCTTCCGCAGCGGCGTCCCTCGCCTCCGCGTTTATCTGCGTTGCTTGAAGCCTTGTGAGCCATCGGGACCCAGCGGCTGCCTGATCACATTATTGGTCTGTCGGGTGTCTTCCGGTTGGGAGATCCTCGTCGGCCTGCAAGGAGAAAAGAGGTCAGAGGCGGAGGCGGCACGGCTGCACTAAAGCCTCCGACAAATATTCCCGCACCCGCCTCAAGGGGGGAAAAGCTGCTGCCACGGGGCAATCGGCACACGTAGCTCCCTTGGATGAAGAATGGCATTGAAATCCAGCTTTCTTTGAAGAGATTTGGGAGTTTTATTCCCAAGGGGCCAAGACCCACGTTACAACTACAGAGAGAGCACGGTACCTTCAAATAATCTCAGTTTGTTTATGAGCGTTGAAGCTGGGCTCTCCCACCTGCATATGGCAGCTCCCTGAAGTCTAAATGCTTAGAAAAGGTGAGGATACGCCGCACCAGGATAACTCTGGTTGCCCAAACTCCTCTCTCCATCCCCAGTGCACGCTGCCAAGGGTCTAAGATAACCCCGTCGGCCTTATCAGGCACTTGCACTTCCCTCAACTCCCAGTATCTTTGAGATTTATGATGCTCTGCTTGCTAAGAAAGCCCTCCTTTCTCCTTGCTGGCCTCGCTTTACTCTTCAAGGAGCTCGTTCCCCTCCTTCTGACAGGAAGGCGTTTGGAAGGAGCACGCAGAGGTGCCCCAGCGTCTCTCACCTGAAGAGAAAGGGTTTCTCACCTATCTAGAATGGGTTTCTCCTGCTCCTCTTCAGGGCTCGCGCTGCCCAATATTCGTTTCCTGGCTTCCGCGTACTCCGCCTCCCTCTGTGCCAAGGATTTCACAGGGAAGGCCGGCCTGCTGGGTGAGTTGGGACCGCTAAGAGCACCGTTGGTCGTCGGCCTCTTCAAGATGCGGATCTGCGGGGGAGGACCTGCAGGAAGGCTGTCGTCCTGAATCACAATCGGCACTTTCTGAGGAGATTTTGACTTTCTGCTGTTTAAAAGAAAAACATTTGGTTGGTGCTGGTTTTCCACAGCAAGCATGTTTTTTCGCTCTGCCTGTGAATTCCTCCTAGTCAGATGTCATTCCCCTGATTAAGAGGCAGCCTGCAATAATTAAAGACCTCGTTATGTCTGTAACCCTAAACGAGGGCGGCAGGCCGGTTTGCAGGAGGTTAGCTCAGTAAGGGACAGAAAGCCGGTCCCTGCTGCATTCACCATCTTTCAACTTGACCAAAGGAAAGGGAAGCAGATGCTGGGAAAAAGCTTCAGCACTTCTATTCAAAGATACCGGGATAAGCACCTTGATTCTGTTCCCCGCAAGGACTTTTAGGGTTCCTCTCGCTGGGATACCTGGCCTTCCATTCCAAGCCTGCCAACTCACTTCTCAGAGCCAGCCTTGGCCCCCATCTCACCATCTGAATTTATTTTATCATCCCTTCTCCGTGAGGAAGTCCCAGAGAAGTAACACTATGACTCTTTAGGTGGCCTACTAAGAATCAAAGAGGGGGAAAACCCAACAACAGTCTTGTCAGAAGTGACTGGAAGTATTTCTGCTAGAAGACAGCAACACGCACACCCCCAACCCAAAGTAAGCAGGAAAAGCCCTACTGATGCAAGACACGGCAAGCCAATTTAGGCCCACAAGCTGGGATTACCTGACTCACCCATTCCTTCTTTTCAGTGTCTTTTCCTTAAATGGCTTCCCCATAGCTGGAGCTACATCCAGTCTGGAAGACCCGGCTCTGAAATAAAATCACTCTCAAGAAGCTTTCCGCTACCCTGCTACGGATCGAAAGGGCCATCCCGTGACATGATTACAGGCATTCCCTGTTTCTGCACTCAAACTCAGCACCCTCTGCGCAGGCTGACACTGTTTTCCCACTGTTCCCGCTCCCTGGGCCTTCAAATGTCCAACAGCACCTCAGGAAAATAAGGTTTTTCCCCAATCCCCGCGGCGTCGTTACCTTTCCTTCTGTGTGATCTTCAGCTTCTTTTCCAACCGTCTGTCTATTTCCTAGAAAGGAAGGAGATAAAAATAAAAACCTTGGAGATGGAGCCCATCCACGCACACGTTTCCTTTCACTCTTCCGTACAGGGATGCTAGAAGGGGGAAGAGAGAGCGCGTGTCTCCATTGGAGGATGACTTGCAAACCAAGAGGCAGAGGAGAGCAAAGCCACCACACGTACTCTACCGTAGCCATTAACCTACAGCAGGCTGAGGATTCCATGTACCATAGTGAAAGGGCAGCTGCGAGGAGCTCATCTTTTGTGTTAAGGACTTCATCTGGCAAGAAAGGCTCTATTTAGGGTACAGAGCCATGGGAATACACAGCAAGGTATTCCCAGATCCGAGCAGGATCCAGTGCCAAACCTCCCAGGCAGAAAAGCAGCAGCTGGCCGGGGTGATCCACATCAGTCCACACACTTGATTTCAGCGGGGCAGTCAGCCTCGGAGCCTGCAGCCATTCAGAGGACTAGCCGGCAGGGCCGCATT